TTGGGAGCTGAGTTTTGCCTATGGAAAGTATCAGATTCCCAGTTTCCAGCTGGATGACTTTAGTTAAGTGATGTGACCTCTATGAACCTCAGTTTCTTAATTTTGTAAAATGGGACTGACAATTGAGCACACTTCATAATGCCCTAAAGAGAAATATTCTAAGGAAAGCACTTAGCAAGCCTGGCGCCTAGTAAGTCTCAGTAAATGATAGGTATGATCATTAGTGTGACCTCATAAGGAACAAGAATGATGGGTGTACAGCCCTGGAAAGGAGGGAGGAATGTTACATTTTCTTAGCTATGTTGTAAACTCTTCGGATTCCCAGTGGGTCTTGAATCTTCTCAAAGACCTTCATCTCGCTGGGTGCTAGAGGGTGGACCAGCAAGGTGGACAGAAGGTTTGCTGCAAGCACGTCTCCCTGAGCACAGGTCTCAGCTCTGCCTCACTCTGGCCATAAACCCGGGGACCAGGGATGGGCAGCTTTGATGTGCAGCTACAAAGGTCTGGCTGCCCCTGCCTGGATCAGCCAGGTCTCCGTAGGTGACGACACCCCAGCCATTTCCAAGGATGTCTTTAATAAAGGTTAATGGAGATGCCTGATTGTACTCTGAAAAGGCTCAAGAGCCACTTCTGGGATGAGCCTGGTTAATGTGGCCACAAAACAGACAGAACTTTGATCACATCCAAGTCAGGGAAGGATTTTCAGAAAGAGGGACATTTAAGCTGAGACCTGAGGCACGCTTAGTGGTTTTGTCAGTAGGTGGGGCTCAGAGAGGGGGAAGCAGAGGCAAAGGCCTGAGTGACAGCATATGGCTCAGAGGAGCTGGAGGAGGAGGAGCACGGAGAACAGAGAGTGGCAAGGCTGACGAGGAGTCAGGGGTCTAGTCACCTTGCCGAGAAGAAGTGCCCACCTAGATTGTTTTTAATTAGAGCATTATAATTATGCATAGTATTTGGGTTCCTTTTGACAAAATTATACATAGAAGGAATTTGATTTCAATCCCCTGTCCCCTTCTCTTTCCTTCCCTCCTCCATCCCTCTTTTCTCACTCGTCTACTGATCTTCCCTTCATTTCTTATTGATTTTTGATTGGTACTTTCTGCATATCCATAAAGGAGCTATTCCCTTTGGTACATTTATATATGTGTATAGCGTGATTCTATTCGATTCATTCCGTATTTCTTTTCCTTTCCTCTCTCCTTCTCATTCTCCTTCTTCTACTCCACTGATCTCCCCTATATCTTTAGGATATCTGATCCCCCCCCACTGCCTTCTCTCCCTAATTTTGCTTTAGCACTTGATTTTTGACACTTGATTTTCTGAGCCTGACTTATTTCTCTTAGCATGATCCCACCTAGATGTTTTTTAGTTGTAGATGGGCATAATACCTTTTATTTTATTTATTTATTTTTATGTGGTGCTGAGGCTCGAACCCAGGGACTTGGGAGTGCTAGGCAAGCTCTCTACCACTAAGCTACGACCCCAGCCCCCACCAGGATTTTTTAATGACTCAGAGTCCCAAATGTGCTTCCGGGCAGGGAAGAGGATTTCTGTAGATTTGATATCATAGGGATTTCTGTACCCCCAGCCCTCCTGAGTAGTTTACCATTAGAAGACCAGAAAGGGGGAACTCTGAGGCTGAGAGGGAGGCAGCCCCAACTCTTAGAAAGCTCCAGAGTGAAACCAGATGTGGTCACATGTATTGGTAATCCCAGATAGTTGGATGACAGGGACAGGAGGGCTCCAAGTTGGAGGCTAGCCTTGACAATTTAACAAGACTCCCTGTCTCTAAATAAATAAATAAAAGGGCTGGGGATGAAGCTCTTTGGTAGAGTGCCCCTAAGTTCAATCTCCAGTATCATAGAGAAGAATAAGAAAAGGGCAGCGGGGAGAAGAAAGCAAGCTCCAGAGGGAGGTAGAGTATCCGCTGGGTCCTGGGCTGGAGCCAGGGCTGGACAAAATGCTTTGCCTCTCTGAGCCAAAGGTCATTTTGTTTGAATGAAAAAAACGTCACATGTAAGTGCCCTGGAAATGCTTACACTTTTATTTTCTCCTGGAAAAAGGAGCTTATTTTGCCCAAAAGGGCCCACTCAGGATGGAATAAAACATTGATTGGACATGCTCAGATTCCACACAACTCCCAGCAGGCAGTTAAACACAGGGCGGAGAAGCTGTCCCAGGGACTTGCTAAGATGAAAGGGTGTCCTCGGTGAGGATGGCTCCCCACTGGTGCAGGCTCCCTGCCTGCCTCTGGCTGCCTCTCCACTCTGCCCAGAGGTCAAGCATGCCAAGGGCTTCAGCTCTTCCCACTTCTCCACTCCACCTCTACACCAAGGAGAGTTTAAGGAGCCAGGCGCTGTCAAACCTGGGCTGAGTGTTCCTTGGCAAATTCACCTCCCCATCTAAGTACGTAAGTTCAGAGCCTGGGTTTGAGCTACTTTCTAGCCGTACAGCCTGGGGAAGGCTCAATTTCCTCACCTGGAAAATGGAATGATTCCACGGTGGCTGTGGCAGAGGACCCTATGATGACAAGTGGGCTGTGTTCTGCAAGTGGCCTGAGGCCCCATGAGCACACCGTGAAGATTGTGGACCATTGTTTTTCATTTTTGTTTGGTGGTCTAGGAAGAATTTTTATTAGAATTAGGCAAAAATGTCAGCCTTGGCTTTTTGTGATTAAAATACATATAACATAACATTTACCTTTTAATCACTTTTAAATGTACAGTCCAGTGGCATCCTTCCCTCTCTCACCATGCATCCCACTATTTTTATTTTAAATCCTCCCAAATGGAAACTCTGCATCCATTGAACAGAGGCTCCTCAGTCCTCCCTCTCTGTGGCCCCTGGTGACCACCACTCTGCTTTCTCCATGAACTTGACTCCTCTCTGTACCCCACATAAGTGGAATCAGAGCATTTGTCTTTTCATGACAAGTTTATTTCACTTAGCATAAAGTCTGCAAGATTAACCCATGTTAGGGCATATGTCAGAATTCCCTTCCTATTTCCACTGGAATAATATTTTATTGTATGTGTAAACCACATTGTTTATCCATTCATCTATCAGTGGACACAGTATTCTTCTACCTTTGGCTCTTGAGAGTAATCCCAATAGGGACAGGTATGCAAATACCTGTTTGAATCTCTGCATTCAATTATTTTGTATATATATCTGAGAATGGAATTATCTTTTTGGTACCGGGGATTGAACTCAGAGGCACTCCACCACTGAGCCACATCCCCAGCCCTATTTTGAATTTTATTTAGAGACAGGGTCTCACTGAGTTGCTTAGTGCCTCGCCGATGCTAAAGCTGCCTTTGAACTCACGATCCTCCTGCCTCAGCCTCCCCAGCTGTTTAGGGGATTACAGGCGTGAGCCTGGCTGTACAGTAAGTCTTAAAGCCTCCATTTCTTCATCTTAAAAAGGGGCACCACGGGTAGGTGAGGGGCTCTTCTTTTATCCCTCCTTTTGGTCACACAACCCAAGGCTCCTCTGAATAGCACTGGCCTCCACGGTGGTAGTCCTACTTGGGTGTGCTCCTGGCCCTTCATGGACACAGGCATCCATTCATCCTTAGTGGGGCAGCTCTTACTTCTAGTTCTTATTTCAGAGAGCAATCTGGAGGCGACTTCCTGCTTCCTGGAAGTCCTAGATGAAGCAGAAGCACTGGCACCTTGGAGCACTACCATCAGGGAGGACACGGCCAGTCCTGGAGATTCCAGCCCAAAGGTGTCTTCCCAGCTCCACTGCTCCATCCCCAAGGGTCTGCATCCAGGCAGACTAGTGTCCTGGTGGCAAGCATGAGCTTTGAGATCAGATGGATGTGGGCGTGGGTCCTGGCGCTGGCAATGACCAGGTGTGTGCTTCGGGAGGACACTCCTCTCCTCTGAGCCTCAGTTTCCTCATTTATGGAAGGGGATAGTAACAAACGCTGCTAATGGAAGAATCGAGCTGCCACATGACATCCTCAAGCCTTTTCTCTGGTACAGAGTCATGGTCACCCAAAGGGTTGACATGACCATGGTCATCGCCTGGCCTGGCACAGGACTGAAGGAAATGGAACTCCCATATCCCAGGGTAGAGGCACAGTGAGGTAATTATGAGCAGAGTCCTCAGGGTCCCAGGTGAAGACACTCGGGAAGAGATTCCAGGTTGGCCAACCAGCCTTCCCTTCCTCATGGGTCTATTTATCATTTGAATTTCCTTCCCTTATTATGCACCCCAGGAAGGAAAATCAGCACATATTTATAGAATACAATTACACAGGTGTTTTTGGTCTGGTGGTTATTTCCCTTGCTAGTTGTGGAGGACTGAATGGTGATCCATGTCCTGAAACTTGTGAATGAGACCTCATTAGGAATAAGGATCTCTGCATACATAATTGAGGATCTTGAGATGGGATTTCCCAGATGGATCCTAAATCCTTATAAGAGACAGATGAGGAGATGATGAAGACACAAAGGAGGAGAAAGCTGTGTGAACCTGGAGGCAGATATTGGAGTTGTGCGGCTCCAAAGCAAGGGACACCTGGACTCACCTGAAGGAGAATTCTTCAAGAACCCTCCCTTGGAGCTGGGGATGCTACGCAGTGGTAGAGCATATGCAAGGCCCTGAATTCCATCCTCAGCATGGGGAGGGGAAAGAAATCACCCTTAAATCTTTTAGAGGGAACACAGCCCTGCTGATACCTCCAGAACTGTGATAGAATCAACTTTTGCTGTTTTAAGCCCCCAAGTTTGTGGCAATATGTTGTGACAACCCTAGAAAATGAATCTACAGGTGGAGGCCCTCAGCTCTGCTCTTCGCCATAAGCCCTCTTAAGGACAGCCAGGCCGGCCTCCCCACTGGCCTCACTGCCTTTCCGCTCACTCCCTCTAGCCCCTCTGCTACACCGCGGCTGCCAGAGTGATGTTACTAAAACCCGTGACAGTGTCACATTACTGTTTGAAGCCTCTACCAGTTAGAACTCTTTCCAAGTGACAGAAAACCTAACTCAAACTGGCTTAAACAAAAAGGAATTTATTGGCTCATGAAATCCAAAAGGCCAGGGGCTAGGGCTGGCTCCGTCTTGGCTGGATTTGGGGCTCATATGATGTCACTGGAACTCATTTTGCTCCATCGTGCTGCCTTCTGCTGTGTTGGCTTTGGTCTCAGAATCCCCACGGTAGTGAGATAGTGACAGAAGCCCCAGCTCCTGCATCCTGTCAGATTAGAGACCAGCAGAAAGGAGTAAAGACCTTTCCCGGTCCTCCAGCCAAAGCCTGGACTAGCTCCCATTGGGCAGGATTGTCCATCCCTCAACCAATCACTTGACCACAGGAGCGAAATGCACTGATTGGCTTAGGAATGGGTCATGTGCTCCAGTCCCTGGAGTCATGGGTGAGTAGCCCCTACCAGAACCATGTGGTCAGAGAGGGAAGAAGGAGAAAAGTGATAAGATACAATCCAAAAAGTCCCACCTCCCCAATTCCCTAAGCATAACAAAACATTGGGAGCAGCAAAATAATAATAATAATAACTACTACTATTATTATTAAATGTAATTTAAGAATCAATGTGTTTACCCAAATGTTCTCCAATGGACCCAGATGTAATTTGAATTTCAGCCTCACCTTGATCCCAACTTGCTTGATATCCCCAGGTGTATCCTGCCATTTTTTTGCCAATGCACCTTTGCTCATGGTGGTCCACTCTGCCTAGAACATTCTTTTCTTCTCCCCCTCCTCACTTATTTCCAGTTCTCCTTCAGGCCTGGAGATGTAGCATAGTGGTAGAGCACTTGCTTAGCAAATTGATACCCAGGTTCTAATCCCCAGCACTGCAAAACTGCAAAAACAAACAAACAAACAAACAAAAACTTTGCTCAGTGGAAGGTTTTGGTTTTGTCTCCACCCTGGGTCTGAAAGCATCCTCAAGTTCATTATCATGGCCTTTAACCCCTTGGATTGAACTTGACTGTTAATGAGTCTGTTTCCTCTACTGAATTTGGTGCACATCATAAGAGCAGGGGGTTATTTTGGTTTTACTTAACAAACACATAAAGCCTTTTCCAAGGTCCAACCACCATTCTAAGCTCTTTACAAATATTAACTCATAAAAAACATGAGGTTTGTATTATTATTAACCCTACTTTAAAGATGGAGAAACAGGAGCACAAAGATATCATATCTTTTTAAAAAATTTTTTTTAATATTTATGTTTTAGTTTTCAGCAGACACAACATCTTTTGTTTTTGGTTGTGGTGTTGAGGATCAAACCCGGGCCGCACGCATGCCAGGCGAGCACGCTACCACCCGAGCCACATCCCCAGCCCACAAAGATGTCATATCTAATTCAACCACATATTTGCCAAGCCAAACCCAGGCCTAAGCTCAGGGTGGGTATTCAATGGTAGGGCTGAGGCTCAATGGTAAAGTGCTTGCCTAGCATGTGCAAGGTCCTGGGTTCCAACCCCAGCACCAAAAAGAAGAAAAACAAAAGTGTGTCTTTCAGGATGTTTCCCGTAGTCTCTGTTCCCAACTCACCAAGAGGCCATATCTTCAGATTTTCCCATTTCCCAAAGTGGCCTGCATTCTGGGCCTTCAGAGTTGGAAGGGGGTGTGCTGAGGTGGCTGCAGCAAGAGCAACCCGAGCTGGCCTCCCTTTGTCTCTGCAGTTGATGTCCAGGGTCCCAATCTAGACCCTTTAAGCCTATGAAATCCTTGTGGATGGAGGATGAGCCAGGGAGACCCCAGGTGGCCTCCCTTATCAGCCCCGTGTTCCCAGAGCCCAGTCCAGGGCCCATCCTCAAGGTCATTAACCTGCCTGTGCTCCTGAGGAGCCCAGAATCCTAACTTCCTGGCTTTTAAAAAAATGTGGTCAGTCCTCACAGGAGGGAGTAGCTCACTAAGAATGACCAGCTTCCACTTCCGTGGCTCTGCCGCATTCGCCCATCTGCCTGTCTCCTTCCTCCATTGCCCTGCCAGGGCTGCCCGCTTTCTCTGTCTCAGAGGCTCTCGCTTGGTCTCACCCCATCTCACCCTCTCCGCCTCTGTTGGCTTCCTTTCCTTGTTCCTGTTCTGGGTCTTTTCTCTGTCTCTTCCTGCTGAACTCTTCTCTACCGTATCCCCTGGGGTGTGTATACCTGTCATGTCCCTTCATGTTCCCTGGATAGCTGTCTGTTTTTCAGTCTATTTCACCCCATCTTTGGTTACCTGGGCTGTCCAGCAATGGGCCTGGGACCTCTCGTTTTCTCAACACCTTGAGAGAAGCCCTCTGTAGCAGGGCAGCCCCAGCAACCCCTGCCCCATGACTCCTCCCATCCTCTGAGCCTCCCGTTGGCTCTTCTTGATCCAGAGGGCCCCTCTATCCAGCCCAGGGAGCAGGAACCCTCAGAGCCACACAGGCAGGGTTGCTGGCTGCTGCCCCAAGGACCAGGTCTCCATAGTTTCTCTTAATGACTGTGCCTTCAGTGACACATTCATTATTCCTGTTTGGTCGCTTCTAGTCAAAACTGATTAGTTACACTTACCACTGCAAAGATGTAATGATTTTATTGTTTATCTTCAATTTATTTTGATTAACATCTCCGTTCTTTTCATTGCAAGTGCAATTAGGTGCAATCTAACAGCGACTACTTTAATTTTGTTGAAATTAAGATGAATAAGTGACGGCTTATGGTGCTTTGTTTAACAAATAAATCATAGTTAAGAGGAGTGTATTAGTAATAAATGAAAAAAGACAGCTTAATTAAAATGCACAGAGCCAGCCTCTTGATGTACATCCAAAAACCAAATCTGAATTCCAAAAATCAGAGAGAGCTGAGGATTAGGAAGACCCTCGCTGCCTCTCGAAATCGTGATCAGAGAATGATAGACAGTGTGGTTTGGTTTTGAGGATGCTCTGTGGACGACAAGAACAAGGAGCATGTTATGATCCTTGTGAGATGGTCGCACCTTGTTAGCAAAAGCCACCACCAGGGGAACCCAGGTAGAAGCAGATGTGGGAGAACACAGGAGGAGAAGCCTCATTCCCTGAGGAGGATGCTTGTACCATAAATTCACCCAGGGAACCACCAGAAGCAGGGGACAGGTCCCTCCACCACTGAATCTGGGGAAGAGCAGGTTGCCCTGCTGGGGAGCCCCTCACGAAGCCTAGGACCCCAGGGCAAGTGTCTCAGTGAGATCTCCTCCCCGCTGGGCTGAGAGGGACTTCCCCATCTCTTGATTTGGAAACAAAGTGCAAAAAGTCAGCCCTGGAAAGTTTCCCGTGTGAAGTTTAAAAGCGCCTGTGCTGGAGAGGCTGGCTTTGAAGCAGCTCGCTGGGCCCCTCAGCAGGCTCCTGCGAGTCAGAAGGCTGGCCTCGTCTCAGATCCGCCGCGCCTGCCTCTGCAGGGCTGGGAAATGGGAATTGTTTTTAACTTGAAAAATTACTCATGGAGCTCACTCCTTTGCCACCGCACTTCTTTTGTTCTCAGTCATCTCCTTCCTCTGCCTTCTCCTCCTCTTTTGCTTCCTTCTTCTAGTGAAGAGCAGGCAGACCTGAGTTCAAACCTGAGTTCAGGCTCTTACCAGCTGTGTGACCTCAGGCCAGTGACTTAACCTACAGGACTTCCTCAGAAAAGGGTGGGTAATGGTACCCATGAGGGTTGGTGCAATGAAGGTTGACGGAGGTAAGTGCACCAGCCTGGCTCAGAGGAGCAGTTCAGGAAACATTCAGACCCTCCCTCTCTCCAGACCCCTCCCAGCTCTTCCTGGCTAGATCTTCTTAGGCAAAGATCCTCTTTGGCTTCCTTCCCTCCTACTCACCCTTCAGCCTTCTGCACTTTAACTTCACTTTTCCTTTTCATTCTCTCAATATGTATTACTGAGTACCTGCCTTGGGCCAGGCAAACCTTAGGGACCATGTGCTAGGTAAGTGAACTCAGGATGGACCTGACCTGCCCTCAGAGTTTTTAATCTCATGCCTCAAGTCCCCTGCGGGTGACTCCCTCTTAATGGTCATCATCATCCTATGTGTTCTAAGGTATCTTCCCGACAAATTGAGTGCTGTGTGACAGCAGGGGTGAGTTGCCAAGGTAGGCAATGCCACTTCAGGGTGGGCAGTTCTGGACCAGAGATGGGGAGAGGGACAAGAGATGGCAACCCCCAAGATGGATCAAAAGGAAATGACATGTCTAGGGATCGAACCTGGCTTCTTCTGTTTAGTTCAGGAAAGGACAAATCAGGCCCCATGTGGTTGAGGGTTAAGAAGAGCTGTTCCTATGACTGAGACCCAGATTCTTCCACTTGGTCTAGAAGAACCACCCCTTCCAGGTTTGGCCCTGCCTACTTTCCCAGCCTCTCCCATGTCCCCAGCCATACTGGCCTTCCTACTGGTCATGCTCCCCACTTCCTCTGCCAGGAACACTCTATCCACCATCCCTTTTAGCAGTCCCTTCTACTTTCTGCTAACTACAGCCCTATGCCCATACATGACTTCAGGTCTCAGTTTTTTTTTTTTTTAAAGAGAGAGAGAGAGAGAATTTTTATTTTTTAGTTTTTGGCGGACACAACATCTTTGTTTGTATGTGGTGCTGAGGATCGAACCTGGGCCGCACCCATGCCAGGCAAGCTCGCTACCGCTTGAGCCATATCCCCAGCCCAGGTCTCAGCTTTGATGACAACACATCTTGAGAAAAGACCTTCCAGGGCTGGGATGGTGGCTCAGAGGTAGAGTGCTTGCCTGGCAGGTGTGAGACCCTGGGTTCAATTCTCAGCACCACATACAAATAAATAAATTAAATAAAGGTCCATCAATGACTAAAAAATATTAAAAAAAAAAAAAAAGAAAAGATCTTCCAGGGAATAGGGCAGCTTCCCTGGATTGATCTCATCATGGCACTAATCCTTCATGGCACTTGTACAACTGTCATGAAATAATATGTCATTGTAGTTTAGTTTGCCTCCCCAACTACAATGTAAGTTGCATGAAGGCAGAGAGCAGACGTGCCTGCCTTGTGAATTACTCTCTCTTCCTCAATGCCAAGCAAAGAACCTTAATAGAAACTAGACAGAATAAATAACCTTCTACAAGCTGGGCACGTTATACACATCAAGGATGATCCAAACCACAGTCCTTGGAAGGTGATCATTGTTTCCATTTCATAGATGAGGAAACTTAAGCTTAGAATGGTGTGACTCACTCAAGTAGGTGGTCTTGAACTCACATGTTTGACTCTGAAGCCACACTCCATTCAGGAGCTTAAAAGCCAATCCTAGTGTGGTGGTGGGAGGAGGAACAGAATTTCTCCTGCTTAGGTCTAAGGACAGAAGAGAGCATTGCCCCTCTGCTTAGTGTCAGCCAGGAAGGAACCAGCAAGTGACAGGGCCTGAGGTGTTAGATCCAGTTCTGGGGTGTGGCCACCTACAACCTGGGGAGAGGTCAACCACAGACACTTCTCAGGAGGGGCTTTGGGGACCCCAGAAGAAATCACCCTGATTCTCCCTGCAGAGTTGGCCTTTGGTCCTTGCCCTCTGGGCTGAAGACAGTGGTCATGTGGAGGACCCATGGCACCCAGAGGCCAGGCAGCTGCCACATTTGACCGCTGCATTTGAGTCATGTGCAAGCTTCAAGAGGGGGGACCAGAGTCACTGAGCGCCTCCTGAGCCCCCTCCTCCACGCTCGTTACAACCATCCCACCAAGAGCTGCTTATTAGCTCTTCTTAAAGATAAGGAAACTGCTGCCTGGAGGGAAGAAGTGACTCCTTCGAGGTCCCAGAGCAGGGAAATGGCTTATGCGGGCTGTTCAGAATAGGGACAGAGGAAGCGATAGCGAGTCCTCTTGAGCAAAGGGGGGAAAAGGGTGGCAAGTGAGGGGAGATAGAAAGAAATGAGAGGAGGGAGAAAATGGTGAGAGCGAGGAGCCCGGGGTAGGAGAATCCGCCCCACAGAGAGAAAGCGAAGCGCAGTGAGGAAGAGCTGAGGATCGGGGAGACACTGAGGCGGGAGAGGAGACCGAGAGCGCCACAGAGACAGGGGATGGAGAGGCTCCGGGGGAGGCGGGCAGA